CGTACTTGGTGTGATGAAACAATTGGTTCATTGATGGATTGTGTTTACATTTATTTCGTAAACAGCCACTGGAAAAGAGGAGATTTGTGTTTAAAAAAGAAATTAGGCGAAAATGTTTTCGAATTTTTAGATATTTATAAATGTAACAATAAAAATGAATGTTTTCTTTGCTATGTTTATTATTTGTTTTTAAATAAAAGTATGTCATTTTGATATTAAGAGTATGTTAATANTATTATGTCACTAAAATAAACATAAATCAAGTAATTCAACTAAATGAAATTTCATTACTAAACTGCTTCACACAATTTCGGCAGATCAAACAAAGGATTTCTAAGGAAGCAGAGAAAAACTTTGATAAATGAATTTTTATAACGATTTTCTTAAAATACATACATTTTACAAACTATTTACTTTAAAATCTAACGCGTGGTATTCACAGATATTTAATAAAATTCATTAATCTTTTTAAAAATTTCATGTAATTTTTTTATATACTGCTATGAAACGTACACTAATATTATAAATCTTTAATTAATAAGAATTACCTGTAATTAAAACTTTCATGATGATAAAATATGAAATCCCGCGCAGCCAAATACAGAAAATGGCTTCCTCTAACAATAGCTTTTGTTTAAACAACGCCAATTGCTTTGGCGAAAAAGTTTGGTCACACAATCAATATAGGGTTATAAGAAGATTGATGGATAAAAGCTAGCGTCAAGCTCACTCCGCCCAGTTACCAATTCCTAAATTGACCAAATATCATGCTAGCCTCGTAATTTGGTTAGATAGGACAGAAATAGAGATCCAGAAACGTTCTGAATAAGTTGTTTCTTAAATTTTTAAGTTATTATCCAAAGTGAAAAATTTAGTGAAATATGAATCTTCGAATACTGTTTAGGCTTTGTCTATATTTATTATTAATCTATTATCCCATCATGATCAATTTTCTGCTCTTTAAATACCATTTCTTCCTTATTTCTTAAATATGGACTTAGTTTTTTAGACATTGTGAATCGTATAGTTTCTGTTTGCTTCGGATGATTTTCACCTAAACTGAAACCCTAAAGATAATATGTTGTTACTTTCCAATTTTTATGTCTCTCTTCGTAAAGGTATTGGATGATCAAATGAGGGAAATTAGTTAAAATATTTCATGGTTTGTGATATTTTATATATTTGCTTAAATTCTTCTATACTTTTTACATTTAAATATAATAAATATTTGAGAGATTTTCACACTTTTTAGCTGTATTTGAGGGAAATTGTTGTTATTAGCAATGAACTACTGCAGGTATTTAAATAATTGTTCCATTTTGTTTTCCATATAATAGAATTTTTGCATCAATAAGAGTGTATTTTGATAAAAAAAATTTAGTTTAGTTAAAATTAGATTTAAAAACTTACTAGCTCAATTATGTTTGAAATAGCATTTTCATTGTTCAGTGATGTAACTTTGCTGTTTCTAATATTTGATTTATATTTCATGTATGAAATTGAAGAGAATCAGTTCAATATTTGGCCAGAGGTTGGGAGGTTAAAATTATTTTTTTATTAGGCGAAATTCATGGTTTTGAACACTTTCCTGGCAACGACTCCTGGTTATTTATCAATGAAGGAATAGGAATATTCTCAACATGTTAATTTTTTTAAGTATCTCTTTTTGCAGGAACATAAATTTTTTAATGATTTTAAATTTTAAAATTATATTTTAAACAATTACCTTTTTTTTTTAAAAAAAGCATCTTTTAAAAATTAATTTTCTCTTAATTTTTAATTATGAAAAAAATATTTCAAGTTTTAAGTTATTCATCAATTATTCTTTCTATTTTACTTTTTATTTGAAAAAAATTCATGCACAATGATGATCTTTTAGCATGCCTTTAATTATTTTTATAAACAAAATTTTTTTTGCTTATTTTGATTATGGAAGCAAATTATTTTTTAAAATATACTCATAAAATAGTATAAGACGGTAATTTAAAAATTTTGGAGGATCAAACTCAGTTATCACATCAGATATGCCAACGGCTCCGAATTCGTCAAAATATTTTAATAAATGGTAGAGAACAGCAAACTAAAATTTTTAACTTTTTGGATGAATTTGAGAGCATATTTTAAAGGGCTCAACATGGTTGAATTACGATTGACATAAGCCTTTGAATTAGTATGCGATTCAAAATGTCATGATTTTTGACAATTGTTAAAAATAATGTAATAATAACAAACTTTTTTTTTAACAGGACGGTTAAAACAAAATGAAACTGTCAATTGTCAAAAACTTTCCATCCCTACCTAATTATGATTAAAAATATTTTCTGAGTGCTTGAAAAGTGCTTAAAAGGTGCTTATTTTTTGTTAAATAATTTGGCTATGCACCCTGTACCAATTTTTAAAACTATCTATTGATTGGAATGTAGCCATAATTATTTTTTTGTATTTGCTTCTTCTATCTCAGTTTCCCATCCCTATATCTTTTGTACGCCAGACGAAGAGTAATGAAAAATAAAAGTTAACACATCTTTTGTTATTACGGATTGTTTTTTAATCATTTTTGTATTTCTTCTTTTATTACATATTGTAAATAATGTAATAAAAGAAGCAATGTGTATTAAAAAGGAGTAATTTGGAAAGATTAGTTAAAATTGTTTGCAGTATGGATATAGTCAAGTCGCAGTTATAGTAAACCAAAATTTCGGAAGATTCACTATAGCGGGGTTTGACTGTATTATATATGAAATTTATATATATATATATATATATGGGCAAATCTCAGGAATTCGATCTATTCTCTAGGTTGTCCAGACGGTAACCTCAGGATTAATTAATTGAATTTAACTTAATACAGGCATCAAAATCTTCGATGTTCACGATTATTTTCTGATATCAGGGGTCTGTCCAGGCCGAATTTACTACCGTTTAGCGGTACCTTCACAAATTCAATTTTAGGTAAAACGGTAGTTTCACAAATTCAACTTTAGGAAAAACGGTAGTTTCACAAAATTCTTTTTCTTAAAATTTTATTTTTGTATCCCTTAAGNTTAAAACCTACAATAAGTTGCTGTTCTATATCATTATGTTGAGCATATGCTCTATAATTATATCTTTGTTTTACAGTGTTGTCAAATTTAAGACATTAAAATTTGATTTGTTTGTATTTGAAAATGTTACTAAATACTGTCAAAATCTACTATGGAAATGCAAAATTTCTTAATTGATTTGATCATATTCATTGTGTTTTTGAACGATCATGTTATGAAACAGTTAAATAAGTTAATTGTGTAGTTAATAAATCATGAAATGTTATTTTTTGAATGTTATAATAAAAGAAATATATAATGTGTAACTGATGTTTAATGATCAGGAAGATTCTTAAATAAGTGAGAGCTTCACAGCATAAAAAATCAGTATTGATATTGTTGCTAATATGTTTTTAAAAAAAATCCCTAGTAATAAATTCATAAAAATTCCTAATTTTAAAGTGTTTTAGAGCTGAAAATATACAATTTTAAATATTTGTTCAAATGTTAAAAAGGAATTTTGCTGCTTCTAATATTTGAGAAAAATCTCTAGCTATAAGTCAGAGAAGTTAGCAGGTTTGAAAATGCTTGTCTTCCTGTGGAGAAGTCATAGCTGTAGATAGTTATTTGTATCAACTATGTTATCAACTGATGGCCTTTGTTTGCTGGCTACTACAATGTGCCACAAAAGCTTAGGCCCTCATGAAAATTTTCAATAAATTATAGAATTGGGCATATTTTTTCCAATAATTTTATTAAACAGGTAATTAATTGTTAGAAAAAGTGTTCCAGAAAAATATCAGAGTAAATTAAAAGTTAAAACAGAGAAAATCACTTTATCCATAATTAAAACTCTGAGAAGGCTCTATTAATACTTAACTATGTTCTTCATTTCTCACAAATCATGTATAAGATTACTGTTCCATTTAATTTTTGCCTTATATTATAATGCTATTCATTATCTTCTCATAGTTGACTGATCGTAAAAACACTCTTCCTAGGCGAACACGGAAGTCAAGCAACACTCATTGCGGTTAATAAGCGGGTGGGTGACAACTTTGATTAGCCTACGTAGGATGTTTCAGTCTCCATTAAACTACTCTATCATGAAGTGCTTGACTTCACATGCAGTTGGGCTACGAAAGTGAGAGCCGTTCATTCCGCATAGAGTCAGAATTGTTATGACATATCTTTGGATCATCCTCGGGATGCTTCCCAGACCGTACTCGTATCATATCTAAATAAAAAATTTTATTATTTTAATTGTTCGAGCTTTTGCACAGTTACTAAATAAGATTAAAATTCTTAATTGCCAGTATCTTGCTAACAGTAGAGGAGCTGGAATGTTAAATTATTCCATGAAATTACTAAAAATGTATGTTCACATTTTTATATATTTCATTGGTTTTGTCATATTACTATCTTCTCTAAAGGGGCCTTTTTGTTATATTTTTGTTTATAAACTACTCAATTGTAGTCTCATATATAATTTAAATACATTATAGGAAAATTTGATTGTTGATTGAAAAACTCAACAGTTATTTTTCTAACTATCTGAAATTTTGTTTTTACAATTTATTAGCCAGCAGGACAAAACTATTATAATTTCATAAAAATTGTTGTCTGGATAATTTTTTTATGTATACCTAAGTATGCTTTATTTTTCTAAAGTTAAGAATTCTCACATTGCCATATCATAACAATAAATTGTTATAAATGATAGTTGATATAAAAAAAATAATTACGTAAAATGCTTTTTTTTATTTTTGCTAAAGGCAATGAATAACTTAACATTAAGGCAGTGAACACATTCTATTTTTATACATAATACGAAAAGTGACATTTCGAATTGGGACTATTTGCGGTCAATCGAGGTGTTAACTATGCTATTTGTCTACTTTATTTGTGAATTAAAATTTTTAAATTTTTTAGTGATCCACATTTTATAATAATTCTTTTCATTTCTCTTTTAGGTTACGGAATTAGATGAAATACCTTCTTTTGCAAAATACAATGTAACTGATTCTTCTAACTTAAGCAGTGAAAACTCAGAATTGAAAACATTTTTTGACAGTGAGAATTATTTACATGCAAGTTACCTAATGAAGTGGTTTCAGTCTCTAATAGATTCTTTTATATTCCATTTCCATTCAACTTATCCTGGACTCTCAGAGGTTTGTAGTATTTTATATCATAGAAATTATTTAAAGTATATTTATGAAGATGATACATATTTATAAATTTTCATTATTTACATTTGTGCTTGTTGATTCAAACTGATTTCAATTCTAGAAGAAAATTTTTCTGGAAAACACTAAGTTTTCTGTTGTTAACCAATGATGTTTTTTTCTTTCTACTTTCTGTTTGTAATTATGACTGTATTTCAGGCTGACTCCAAATTGATTTATTTTTGTGTTCTGCTGTATAAAAATACCTAATAATATACACAACGAAGAAGCCCTTAATTTCATATTCGATGAAAAAAACTTAAGGAAGTTATTGTCTAAAAGGAAGAAACTTTTACTACGACTGTCTGGAGGAAAATATGTCGGACCAAAATCAGTAATCTTGTTATGAATTTATGGAAAAGTTAGTTCTGAGAATGAAGGAGCTAGTCTTCTTGAATAGAACTTTTAGAATACTTATTTCAAAGAGTCGGGTTCAGTTTTTCTTGTGATAAGCCAGAACTTTTAGCTCTTATGTTAAAAGAAAATTCTGTCTTTTGTGCTTTTAGGGATAAGCATATGGACTTAGTAAAGAGAGATCTTTATTCCCCTTACCCTTGAGGAAAGCCAGACACAATCAATCATTGCACCAATCTGACATTATTCCAGATATTGTGTAAGTTCTTAATGAAAAATTGAGACCTTTGTATATAGAGAAAAAACAACATTATCCTGTGATTTCACTAGACTTAGGAATCTTTGGGACCCAGGATTTTTCAATTTCTAGGTTTTTTTTCTTTTTACCTAAATCGGGTCCCAATTTAAGATATTATTCTTGTTTTAAAGATTTACAAGAAAAGTAAAAATTTTATGACTTGAAAAAAATACAAATGCAATTAGCAATATTTTCACAAATATTTAAAACCCAAATTTTCTTATTAGTTGCCTTTTAAGGTTCAAAATCTGGAGATATTTTGTAAAATTAACGAGAGATTCATTCTTCTTATCATATACTTCTATATATATTTATAGTGCTGATTTGATCATTGAAAATAACACTTCACAAAATGAAGGATAAAACCATTAATAATAAGAATTAAATAGTATATAACTTGGGTGTATAAAAAATATTTAAAAAAAACATTCAGTAGCTTTAACATAATTTTAGATTAACAACAAGTATTAAGAAAAAACTGTAATATAAGTTTTATTTACAATTTATTTCTTTTGAAAAATATCATAAGTAAATTGCAACAGATTTTATAATGAAAGTTCAAACCTTGATTGTGGCAACAACTGTTTTATTCAAAGTGTATTTTTTAGATGAGTTATTTTATTAAAAATGAGCTTTTATTAACTTCTTTAAGTCAGCATAATTTATTACCAAAAGCAAATGTTGTCTGCTAAATAAAATGAAATCAATTCATTAGAAAATGACAAATAATAACAAGTAAATAAATAAATCTGTTATAGCAAAAAAATATTTTTGATTTATTCTATGTTTAGCTGTTTAAAATGAATGAATCTTAAAAGAAAAATTTTTGAGCAATCAACTGAATACAAGGTAGTATAAAATTTTGAGAAATTACAAAATTCTACTTAAAATAAATTAACTCAAACTTCAAACGTTTTTTAATTTTGTTTCTGGATTGCACTATATCAAAAGATAAAAAGACCCAACAGTTTGTGTCAATAAAGTAAAGCAAGCAGTAGCTAGATGCATATTGTCATCCAACTGTTTTTTGCAGGAAATATGATGTTATCGCATTACAATAACGTTCATTACCAGCCAAGTGCAGACGGTGATAATGTGTCTGTCATTGATGAGTTGTAATCTGTAAAAATAAAATCTAAGTTAGATGTTGTTGCCTGTAAAGGAATTCTCTGCATTAAAGTGTTAAAACTTAAATTTTTGAAATAAAATTCTCTTTTTCTTTGTACGATAGTTGTCATGAAGAAAAAAAATGAATTACCTCTGAATATGTGGATCATGGATTATCGGGATTCTTTTGTGTTTCAGTTGACTAAGATGTGGGTTGAAAGTTACTTTTAAAGATCTTCTTAATAATTGAAAATTCAATCTAAATTATGTTATTTATCTTATTTCATTACAGTTGAATTTACTATTGTTATTTTGTTAATAATTTAATCTATTTTTTAGATTAGAACTACTCATAGTGGCCCTGCTCGCACTATCAAACTTCTTTTCAATTCTGAATGGATAAGCGTTGATCTTGTTCCCGTTATTTCAATCGCAGCTAAAAAGTTACTCAAGTGCACTTTTTGCAATGTTGCAAACTTTCAAGAGGTAAATATTATTGTACTTTTAAGTTTATTTTAATTGAATATTATGATATATATATTTATTTAAATAAGCATTACTTGGAAAGGAAGAGTTAAAAAAAATTCGAAACTTCATTCAAAACATTTTTTGATGTTAAGTCATTCAAAGATTTTTCAGTCAATTTGTCAAAATTAATAATAATTGTGCCATTTCCAAAAGCATCTGCCATGTTTAAAAAATAATTTAGGCTTTTTTTAAAAAAACAAACAAACAATATTTAACTGTTTATATTTAGGCTGTGCCGCGGTGGCTCAGGAGATAGAGCGTTCGCCTTCCAAGGAGCTCAACCGGATTCGAATCCAGCATCAGCTGGTTGATACAAATTCCGGCTTGCATGGGACAGTGCTGACGTGAAATATCCTCAGTGGTAGACGGATCATGTGTTAGAATCCCTTCGCCGGCAGGCTGACTGTGGGAGGTTTACATGGTCTTCCTCTCCATGTAATGTAAATGCGTGTTAGTTCTATCAAAAAGGAAGGCAATTTTCTCTCAATACTTGATCCAGTAGTTCCCTTGTCTTCTGGATTGGGTTCAAAATTACAAAGTTGCAGAGTTGAACATTAGTAGTTGTAAACCCAAAAATTGGGTCGGCTGCTCAATGACGGTTATAATTATAATGTATACTTAAGCTAATGATATGCCAAGTTTTTATTCATAATTACGTAAATCATGCAATCGCCTCTATTGACCCTCTGACACTTTTGCAAATCTGCAAATATAGGAGAACATTTCTTCCTTATACTTTGCTTATTGTTCATGCATAGGGAAAAACATTTCTCCTATTGCTAGCTAATGATATAGAAAGAACTGTTGGAAAAGAATACAGGTCTAATCTCCACTTTTCGATGTGAAAAACTGTCAGAGGCTTAATGAAGCTATGTCTTTTCTTCCTGCACCCCTTCTTATTTTCTATAAAGATGATTAACCTTGTATTTTCATTATGTTTTTTGTAGGAATCATTAGCATATTGTTTTTTGGTTCCTAAACCTGTTAAGTCTGATTTGAGTTCTTTGTTATCGAATGAGGTGTTGGAAAGAGTGTGGCGTGTGCATTTACCAGAAATGGAGAAAAATATTATTCAGAAAAAAAATACCTTAAAGAAACTTATAAAACTGATGAAGGTATTTTCACTTATGCATAAAAATGGATTTAGTTAAGGCTCTCATCATTTTAATGCACCAGGATATTAAAAAGCAACAGATATTATTATATTTGAGATCTATGTGGATTATCGAGTACTTATTCAGTTTTCTGATTGATTAATGAAATATGCCTAATGAGATTTGATTGAAAGGAAAATTTTTATTTTAAAATTCCAAACGAAATAATATAATTACTGTTGCTTGATGTTATTCTTTGATGTTATTTCACTATATATTAGTATGCCTACTGACATTCGATCGACAGGAAAATGTAATTCTGAAAGAAATTGCATTATTATTTTACTGTTGCTTGATGTTTATTCTTTGATGTTATTTCATTATATTTATTTTTGTACATATATATTTTTAAATATTGTGCTGCACAAATACTTTTTATATGTGTATTTTTAAATTAGTATATTACTCTTGCTTTTCATAAATTCTATTTTTTTATTTCTTTTTTTATACAATTTTATTGTAGTTATGCTTGGTGTCTTACTAATTAAAATCTTTATTGGGACTACTTATTATTTAATCTAAATTTCTTAATATTTGGTTGTACTTCTAGAGAAGCAGATTACTTCTAGAAAAGTACATTCATATTATTTATATATTTTTGTTAGTTTTGGTAATTAACTGACTTAACCTTCTGGCAATCGGTAAAATATTTCTCTCCGTTACGCTAATACAGTGCGAAGTCCCACGTCTGTTTCTTTTCAAGACAAAAATAGCACGACCACAGAAACCATGTTTATTTATACGTTGCTGATTAAAATGAATGTTAATTATTGTCAATTTATCTTTTTTTAATTAAATAAGGATGTTTTAATGTTTGTCACCTTAAAGTCCCATTATCCTGAAAAATCTGTTTTCTGGACTTTCCAAAGTCCAGGCGATTTCGGATTGGTTCCTCTTTTTTTGTAGCCTTTAAATACAGGCTTTTGCTACACGGAGAAGACTGCAGGTCGTGCTATATACTTAACTGCCATGGTGTTAAGTTAGTTTTTAATCTGATCTTAGATGTATTATGAATTTTTAATCAACTGTTCATGATCTATAATTTAAATAACTAAGGTGGTTTCTGGATAAAGCTTTTTTTACATGCATTTTATTGATTAATACATTTGGAATAAAATTCTAAACCCTTGGCACAAAAATGATTATCTCTCACTAAATTGTAATTGGGTTAGTTTTAAATACTAACCCAGAAAAAAGGGACAAAATTTAACTGCTAATTAACAGTTTACATTAAGTATTGAAGTCGTATGTTACATAAAGATTACAAATATTTAACATCGTATTCTGTAAAATTGTAAAAAAAAAGTATTAATAATAAATGAAATAAATATATTTTTAAAAGTTCTAGCAATTTAAACTGGCTTACCTATGAAATGAAATATAAACTGTTGTTACATAACAACTGTTTGATACATTGAAATACAACTGTTGATACATTAATAATACAAATTTTTAAATCAACACATTCCATCTTATCAACTACTTAATATTTTTGCCTTTTTAATTAATTATGTTTAGTCAAAGATTCTCTACTGAGTTATTTCAATCATTAATCCTTTGTGATTGTATCACAATTTTGAGCTTCCAGTTCCTATTGAACAAAATATGATTACAAATAACCACATTAAAATTTTGTATTCTAAAAAAAAATTTTAAGATATCATTTATTTTTCTGAAGTGGGATTGACATTTTTTATTTTACCAATTTTTGATTAATCAATTTACGATACACTCTGCATATTAATCTTTTCTTAATTCTTTTTCACTAGAAAAAAAAATGCTTTACACATTTTTTAACAATTTTTTTTTGGCCTTATAATAAGTTTGCAGTTTTTTCAACTAGTATAAATATAACTGCAGTTGGACATAAGTTAATTTGTATGCAGTTTATAAACCTTAAAGCAGATGTAAGTGGAAATATGTACAAAAAAAGTTTAATGCATTTTTGAAAATAAATGCTCTTCTCTTTTTTTTAGTATTTAAGGGATCAAGAAAACTGGCCAATTTGTTCATATTTCATCAAAGTCATGGCATATTGGCTTGTTAAGGAACACCCAGATGCAAAGTGGTGGAAAGATTCAAAGCTGGGATTGCTTTTTGTTGAGGTAAGTGTGTAATTTATTTACTTGAACATTTGCTTATTAGTATTGTGCTGATAAGTACAACACATTTAGTTATTATAAATTATCAATAATTAACGAAAATATATATTTAAATAGCAACATTGTATTATATATCGAATGAAATCAAAAAAGTCTTATTAAAGAGTTAATGGGCAATATAGATAAGTATACAATCATGAAGTGCTGAAATCATTATTGAGACTTAATACCTCACTTTCGAATTTAAGGATGCTAAGATTATTTTCAATGTTTACTGTAATTTTTATATTCAGTTATCATTAAATATAGACATTTTTATGAACAAAGACTATACAGTAAATGAAGAAACTTATTAAATTTTAGTAAATGCATGGAATAGCTTGTTTGAAGAATTTTATTTTCAATTTATGTTTCAGTGCACTTTTTTTTTCTTTCCATTTTCTCTTCCTTTTCCCCTTTTTCTCTATTGATGAGGGGTGGTTTTTTTCCTGAAATGCATAGCTTTATTTTTCTGTCTGTGTTTAAAGAAATTTCCATAAACATTCACAAATTCTAATTATTTCTTTTTTCTTTCAGTTTCTCAAAGCTATGCAAGGACATCTAGATAAAAAGTTTCTCAGGCATATATTGTATCCTGCTTTTAACCTGTTTCATTCTTTAAATGACCGCACAATGTTTAACATGAAACAAAGAATTCAAACTATTATATCTCAGATTGAAATGAATCCTAAATACATTCTTCGAATTTACAATGTTCCTATTTTAATACATAGAAGCCTTTAAAAAGCACATGGCATTTAATTTTGTGTAAAATTGTGACGTGTCTGTCTTTTATGCTTTGCATTCAGTGCTGATATCTATCGAATATAAATGAAAATGTCATTAAAATATTTTTATGCATACAAAAATTACTGTATCCTGTATAATTGTAACACATGATTTATAGATTTGTCCAACTTTGCTCATAATAATTTATTTTTCCCATCATCTTTATTTATTTTTTTTACAAAATTATGCTATTTCATTATTTATATACATTTTTCATACAATTGCATAAGAAATGAATTTTTTGGCTGATTTGTGATATTTTTTTCCATATATTTTTATGTCTATTTATTTATAATAATATTTTTTTAAATATTTTATTGCTGGCACATTATGTTATTTAATGGATTTTTGCCCTTCAAAATAAATAAATAAATAAAAAAAGAAAAAATTTGCTAGTTGATTAAGTAGTAGTTGAAGAATTCCTAAGTAATAGAAATTTTGATTCATTGTCATAAGTTTTCAAATTCTGATTTTGAGTTTTCAGGGAATAACTGAAAGTTTCCTTTTTTTTAAAGTTAATTTTATTTATAAAAACTAATTTAATTATCAATATTTAAAATCTAACTCATATTACATTAGATCGAATCAAAATCTGTCGAATAATTCTTGAGAGAACCAATTTTTTCTATTCAACTTTTTTTTGAAATTTTATAATATAGAAACTATTCAATTGATTTCAATCAAATTTTGTATTTTGCCATTCAAAAATGTGTAAAAATTTGTGTACCTTAATTCCAAATTTTTTTGGTCATCTATAAATAAAGTAAAATAAAATAATAAATAATTATTTTAATTTATAAAAAATAAATTATTATTAAAATATATAATAATTTATTATTATAAAATTAGTTTTTGTTGAGAATTATCTTTGGATAAGTTAATTTAATAATTGAGTGTAAAGATCTTATGATTTACTTTAAAACTTCTTGAGATGTAGCAAAATATCAAAAAAGGAAAATTATCATTAAGGGGTCCAAACCTTCTGCCCAAACTTATTGGGTCCTTATTTTCCAGATTGTGGCTACATCCCATATTTTATTTGTTCAGAGAAAGTACATTTTTGAGAACATTTTTCTGAACTTAAAATATTTTCTGCACTAATTAATTAGCGTACTTAAGGCCACCCCTATGAAACATTAAGATTAAGTCTTAGTACATGAAAATCCAATTGTTAGATCAAAAGTTATTCAGTGTGTCTCCCTTTTTTTATTTGTGCACTGTACAAAATTATGCCTGCACTTTAAAGTATGTATAGCTTAATTTATTTTTGATTTTCTGAATGTTTCACTATACAATTGTTAGAAGATTTGTTATTTATATCGATAGACAAATTATTTATATTCCATAGTTGCATAATGTTATTTCTATTAATAAAAATATTTACATTTTCATTGGGTGGCTTATACTTTCTGTTAAATTATAGCTTTAATTTTTGTCTTGTTCAACCCTATTTTAGTCACACAATTGACTTAATTTTTGCTAACATATTTGTTTTGTCCAAATAACAAAACCAGTTTTCTCATGTAATGTGGATAAAGAAAATGTGTATTGAGTAGACATAATTTTGAGTACTTCATCCATTTGAGAAACTGCCAATTCAGTTACGTTTGATTTGACATACTATGTACAGTCAATTCACTATAACTCGAAGTACGATAACTCGAATATTACTATAACTCGATTTGTTTATGCTGTCCCGACCCTTTTATCTTCAATTTCATGTTAATTATTCTCGATTACTCGAATTTTACTCCCTTTAACTCGATTTTTTTTGGATCTTTTAAAGCAAGAAAAAAAAACCTAGGAGCTGATATCTTGCCCCTTCCTCTGCAAAACACACACAATGTCTTTCGCACTCTTCATGGAGAAGCTAAAGCTGTCCCTCTTGAAGTATGTGAACAGTGGTTTAAATGAAACGTTACCAAATTTACTTCAAGGATGCAGTGAAAATGATGTTTTCAATATTGATGAAATGGGTTTATTTTTTAAATGTCTTCCAAATAAGACTGTGATGTTTAAGGATGAAAACTGCTCAGGGGGCAAAATGTGCAAAGAACGTTTTACTGTCCTAGTTGGAGGAAATGCGTCTGGGACAGAGAAATTGCCCTTACTTGTTATCGGAAAATACCGAAATCCCCGATGTTTCAAAAATGTAAAAACGTATCCTTTGGATTACAAGTCTAACAAAAAGTTTTGGATGACATCAGTTTTATTTGAAGACTATGTAAGAAAATTGGATCGGAAATTCGTCGCTAAAAAAAGAAAAGTGATACTCTTAATGGATAAATGCACAGCGCATAGTGATCTACCTAATTTGAAAGCCGTAAACTTGCAGTTTCTCCCGCCAACCACAACAGCAAAGTTGCAGCCGATGGACCAGGGTATCATAAAGTGCTTCAAGTCTTATCGTAAATGGCTTGTCAGAAAAATGATCTTAAATATTGTAAGCATTTAGAAGATTTGTAATTAATAAGCATTAATTAAATAATCCGACAATATTTTAAGAGTCCAAAACTAACGGTAAGTCGAACTTCCGATATGTTGAAGTTTTTCGTCAGTCCTATCAGATTCGAGTTATCGCGAATTCACTGTATCTGGTTTGTGGGAGGTAGAACATCAACTGAAATCAAGTAATTCGTTCACTTGAGAAACTGTAAATTCCATAAGGATTAATTAGATTTAAAGTGAAACCTCTCGAGAGCGATCACTCTCTGTTCCACAGAAAAAGGGTCGTGAATGGAAGTTGGTCGTTTCTTAGGGGTTACCTCCATTGACTTCAAAATATTATTTAATTTTCACGATTTTTCGCAAAAGATTTTAATTTTAGTCAGTGTCATTTTCTTAGTGCGAAAATGCCACTTGTGTTAGCGTTATGAAAACCGGATCGATGATTAAAATTTGACGTCAATAAAAATTATTCTTACTGATATAATTATGTGTAAAAACAAATTTACTAATTATGAATGATAGAACTGTTTTAAATAAATAAGTATCATATTTATTATTTAAGTTCGCATTTAATTTTATATCATAAAAATTAGTTAACTTTTAAGAAATGAGAAGAGGCATGTTTGTTTGAGATGCTTATTTTTTTCTAACAAATTTTATTCCCTATAATTTAACTTTGAACTCTAAAAATAAATCATTGATAGCATCGTCTTTAGTTCATTCTGACTGCAATATGAGGTTGTAGATGGCTTTCCGAGATCATCAAAAAGATTTCTAAATAAGAACCTCATACAAATGTTTTGAATTCATTTTAATCTACCTATTTGTTTTGTTAATATTTCTTGTTCTGATATTTTTTTTTTGTGTTTCCTTATTTGACCTTTCTGCATTTGGGGGAAGAAGTTTGATGGACTCTCCTAAAGAATATCTTCAGCACAAAGTCTTTGAAAAATATTCTGTTCCACCCAAAAGGGATCGTAAATAGACGTGGTCTTTCCTGGCGGTTTCACTATGCTATTTACCTGGTTTGTCAGAGGAAGAACATAAGTAAAATTAGTTTAAAAGAAACATGCTTTATTTTAATTTAAAAATATAATTAATTTATCTAATGGACAAAGAAAAGGAAGACTTAATTTTGAGTATTTCTCCAATTTGAGAAACTTATAATTCAGTTAGGATTGATTCGATATACTACGTTCCTGTTTTGTCAGAGGAAGAATATTGAGTAAAATTATTTTAAAATATAGCTTTTTTTATTGTAGAAAAATAATGAATTTATCCAAGGGTTTTCTGGCAAAATATGCTATTTATATTTGATTATATGAAATATATTAGTTTAATGTACTTTTTTGTCTGAATTATTGCTTTTAATTTAGGTACTAATTATTTATAAATTTTTATTGAGAGATACCTAGTAATGACCAATTTTATGAAATTTCGAAATTTAACATAACAGTGAAGGCATGGTAATTATAGACTTTAACTGAACTTATTATCTCTCTATGCAGACAACTTATTTCTTCCAAATAAAATTAAGAAATGGAGCGTTTTTGCTAGCAGTATTTTTTTAATTTCTGTATAATCTGCAGGCCTGTTCTACAATAAGTCCTAATTTTTACTCACAACAAAATATCCCATTTCCATAATACTAGTCTTACATGCAAACCCTCTAACACTTTGAGGTCTGTGTGAAACATCTTTTTTTCAGTAGTAATAAGCTGAAGCAGAAATTTTTATAAGCAGGGATGCCACATATGACTAAAATTGGTAGAAGTCAATTCCATACCTGCCAACTTTTACGCCTTTGGCGTAAAATTTTATTTCTATACTTAAAGTGGTAGTAAAGTGTATGCTTTCAATATATTCTTTGCATTTAGAAACTTAATTTATAATAAGCTTTATTTAAATATAGCGAATGTTTCTGTCTAAAATTGTAATTTAAATTCCATTTAACTACCACTGGGGAAAATTATCCTTGAAAGGATTAAAAGTAGGCTGCTATGCAATTCATTTAATGTATCATTCAACGTTTCTACCACTATAACTTATATTAATAATTAAATCGCAAAAGTGAGTGTTGAACCGACTTAAAATGTCTGATGTTAGCGATGCTAACTTGCTCTGGACGGTCTATAAATATTTTCGAGTGGTAGTTTTTTAATGTATAATTCTTGCTTTAGTTGACTCGATTATAGGGTTTTTGTTCACCACTACTTCTAAATAATTTAAAGGCTTATGTAGTACACAACCTTATTACAGATAAGCTGTATCAAGCCTTTTAAAAATTTGGCAAAATAAACCGGAAATCTGCACATTTTAGTTTGTAGCTCTGAGCCGTTTATTAAAATAATTTTGCCATGTCCGGCAGGGGTGAAAGCGAGACGAAAAAGAGAAAAGGCTGGTAGTAAAACCATTTCAGTAATTGCTAATTTTCGGGAGGAGTTGACTTATTCTTTTTTTAAACTATTCAACAATTTCAATTTTATACTTGAAAAGAAGCAGATTTATATATACGTTAAAATCTTAAAGAAATCTTGGTAGTTACAGATATTTTATTTTTCTCAGAAAAAATGCTATAATAAAATGTCTTTTGTACCAGTTTTTCATCATTTCCGTCTTGCTACATAAGGGCTTTCAGCCATGATGTCCGGATCAGTTAGCCCCTTTGCTTGTATATGGTGTAATTATTGTATATAGTTCTTATCCTACCCCAAAATAATCTTGTAGAGAACCATATAGAATATTTATTTTATTGTGTTCATTTGATAACGTAAACTCTCTCTCAACCCCTCTTCCCTCAATCTTATTATTTTTCGATGAAGGAACAGATAGCCCCCTGGGTTAGGTACTCCATAACCAGAATCCACATTGGCATTCATTGCCATTCGCTTTCAATAATATGCTGGAAAAAGATGCTAATTTTAAATTCTTTCTAATGAAAATTTGAAGTATATTAGTCACCTGTTTTTGCATTTTTAGTCACCCTTGGCGACCGTGTTATAAGTAACAAATATGTTACCAGATTTTTAATGATACTAAAAAACATGATCATATATATATATATTTGACCATTTATATACCTGTTTAACCAGGGACCGATCAAGACAAATTCAGGCCCAAGGCCCACCAAATTTTCCGGGCCCCTTCCAAAATATTTTGAAATTAAATTTCTGGAGAATAGTCCTAACAATAAAAAAGAATCGATTGAACTGCATGATTCAGGAGAAACATTCTAAGAAATTTTGAAAACGGACAATTGAAGATTATTTTTCTAACATAAAGTTTACGCATATACATTAAAGCAAAATATAAAACAACAAAACATTGTGTCAAAATAAAAATAGTTTGATGACCACAGATAATTGAAATCAGTGATCATTGCTAAAAGTTACTGATTAGCTAAATTATTATTATTTCTTTTTTTGTTTGCTGTGATTATTTTTTTATTTAGTGCTTAAACCAACACAAACCCAGCCGACTTTTCATTATATTTAACGATAAGTTCAGCATGTATGCTAAGATATTACGGTTATTAATTATAATTTTTATTAAAAAATAAACGTAAAAATATTTAAAAAAAATTATAGCCACTCACGGAAAATTAAAAACACATTTAAATAATAATTTATTTAAATATAACACTTTAGAAAAATTTAAAATTCATATTCAGTGCATTCACTTAAGCCGTTGACGTAAAAATTGCACCAATTCCAATTCAGGTATACTTTCGAATTAGATTCGTGCAATGTTTACACGAGTTTGGTTTATCACAATATAAAGAGAATTTTAAATGTAAAAAAAAGCAGTTTTTTGAGAAAAACTGTTTTTTCACTTTTTTTTAAAAAATAGTAATATTGTGGACTTTTTACTAATTTTCGATGGCCCACAGAAATAATGGGCCCTAGGCCCGTGCCTATTATGCCTAGGCGATAATCAGGCCATGTGTTTAACCCATTTAAGACTACTGTTACGAAAACGCAGCATGTAATTTTGACGCAGAAAGCTCTTTTTGGAAAAAGTGATAAACTTTTTTTTCTTCTGTTTAGATTAGACTAATGCGAAATTTTATAGCCTCGGCTTCTACTTTAGTTGAAAATTACTTTATTCCATCATTTATTTAAAAATAAAACCTTTATATTATTTTATTTTAATAAATTATGGTAAGTACGACTATCTTATTTCTCCAAGATAAATTTTAAGAATGAAATAATTGAGCTACCGGTTTTAATCTTTTCGAAGATGTTTCACGAGCACAATGGCACTAACTGGGTGAAATAATTTATTAATAGATAAAATTCTTTCTACCACTAAGAAATATATTTTCTGAAAATACGGAATTTATCCCCTTTAATAAAATGGTAAGCAAGGATGCCACAGAAAACTATAACAAAAAAAACTGGTAGAATCTCAATTTACTTTTATTTATTTATTATCTCTTTAATTAATCAGTTGTAACTGCCACTATGACTATAATTCAAATTATCCATATTCACACCCTCCAACTTATGAGGATTTTGAAAATAATTCTTTCTAGTGGTAGCGAACCAAAGTAGAAATTTTTAAAGCAAATGGATCTCTCGTAAAACTTTTATCAGAACTTAAGAATCTAGCCATATGGCGTGCACTTTTATAAGTAATAGTGGACAAGTTACGCTAAAATTAATTTTTTTTAAATATTAAGACATTAATTTTGCTACCGTCTGAAAAGAAGATTTCTGAAGCTACGGAAATTCCGTAGCAGTTGGAGGGTATGCATATTTAAAACAAAATCCTTAGAATTTGCTCTTAATATTAAACTGAAAAAATTATACTATAAAAAGTTACTGATTTTAGTTTCTTTTAGTAAAATTTCGAATTTTATAAGTCAGCACTCACATTTTTAGTCGCCCGTGCAACCTAGATACATTTCATCGTCATCAATATTTATCTGGGTACCTGGGGCCGTACATAGATACATTTACCGATGCGCAGTCGATATATATCAGGACGGAGAAAAGTAAAAAGTGGTAAAAAAATAAATTTCATTTGTTAACTTTTTTTCGGAAATAATATATCCATTACTACCATTATCTTTCCAGCCCAAAAATTATCTAATATTGAAATAATTCTTCTACAGTTTCCGCAACTTCCGCACAGGCCAGTGCGGAAGTTGCAGATTCTTACAATATTTAAACCGTTAGCTTTCTAACAATCGATTATTACCAGAGATGCCAACTGCTCCGGACACGACAAAATAATTTAAAAAACGGTAAATAACTTCAAGTAAATTTTGCTAACACCTGACTATTTTGGCGCGCTTTTTAAAATGTATAGCCTGAAATGAGTACTACTAAGTGGTGAACTTTATAAACCTACGAATTATTTAGAAATAGTGGTGGATAAAAATCTTCAAAATTGAATTTATTAAACCAAGAATCACAATTGATAAACTACCACTTTAAATTATATATTTGCTGTCCGGAGCAAGTTGGCATCTCTGTATTACTAGTTCGTGTCAGTGCTGCGACAATCTCGATAACTGAAAGCCTCCACACAGTTTTTTATAGGTAGTCCGATTAGACCACTGTGAAGGATATCTACTTTCCGAACGAGTCATTTAATACAAAATTTAGTCAAAATAAGAAAGTGGTAGCAAATATATGACTGAAAATTTGTTTTATTTATGAATATTATTGGATTGCCTTATTCACTTGTCAACCATTACTGATTCAATTCTCAAATATGTATGATAAATTTCTCTCAATTACTTTTATAAAAGGTTTTAGGTTCATGCGCACAACTGGTTTACTTTTTAAGCAGTCTGCGCGGACTACTTACAAAAGACCGCGTGGAGGCTTTTTGATGTAGGAGGTGATGTATAATCTCTTTTAATAAAATTTTGAATTTTATTAGTCACCACATTTTGCATTTTTAGTCGTGTGCTTAATGAGTTGTATGTCGTTGTAGTTGTATGCTTAATGATGGTATGCTTAAATGGGTTAAATAAAAAAATGTTTATTTGGTGAACGAAGTTTTATCAGTTGTAAATGAATGATAGTCCTCTTTAAGTTCCACACGGTTTTACATTAATTATCTAAGAACAAATAAGAGTTTGCATAACTATTATAAAATCGAGCTCGAAAATTCTTCCAAATATCCAGCAATTTCTCTTAAAGCAACAAAGTGCAAAGTATGTAAATAGAAGTTATAGATGATGTCACAATTCAATTTTTAGGATGTTATATTGTAGTATTACGTGTCATGTAGACATTCTTATAAATAGATAAATGCTTTCATTGAGGAATTGACAACATTCAAACATGTTTACTCTTGAGTGTTTACTTTTTTAATTATACGATATGATTTCCCGATGACAAAGTTTTATAGATTTGTAAAAGAAACGAAAGCAAATTAAAACTTCATTTATATCATCATTTTGAAAATACAGCGTCAATGCGATTGAATTTAGTTTATTTTTTATAGCATATCTACCAAGAATCTAGAAAACATCAGCTTGATTTGAACAAATACATTTATGGGTCGTAAAATTGGTAATTCAAACCATTTCGCTTTTGATGCTCCACAATCTTGAAGATAACGATGCGGCGTTGGCAGTTTTCAAAATTTTAAATTAAAATTTATTCTTCGAAGTTTATACTTTTTAAATTCATCAGTCCGAGAGAACAGGTTTTTTAAGTATAAACTTTTTACATTCGCAAAATGCTTCCATGTAGTCTTAACTCTTAACTAATTGCCACACGCCCCCGTTCGAAAATGAAACTTAGCGAGAGACTTATTGTGATTCCTGCCTTGGTTGTGGTCGCCTTATTTATTATAGTTTTGTATCGTAGTGAATCGAACTATATTGAATTGAAGTCTAAACTGGAGGAATCAAATATAGATGTCAAATTACCAAAAAAGTTTCAACGTTCAGAAAAAACTGAAAAAGATGCAGAGTTTGAACCTATGCCAAAATCATTAGCAAAAGTCATTGTTACCGAAAAAACAACATTATCAACAACTACAAAAACAACAACAATTACCACAACAAGAGCACCAAGAGTTAATAAGTTTGAAGATATGGATAAATATACAACTAACAATCCTAGATATCGCTCGTATATGGAATGGCCGCCATTTGTTACTCTTCCTCCAGATAACCCGCGGTTAGCAGACATTATGGGATTAGAAATAAGGTAAGTGCTTTGCATTTACGCATCTTGTAATATATACAATAATACTTGTATATTAGAAATCACGAAAAAGTATGCATTTTACTTTGCTTTTGCTGAGTTAAATCAACTCAGGCTTCTTTGAAATTTGGATTTTTTATTTGATTATTCAAACCCTATAAGTATAATAAAAATAACTACTTGCAATTGAAATTACAATAGTAAATAAACTGGGTGGGCTGTAGTGGCCCCTTGGTTTGACGATAGTTTTAATTCAGTTTTGTTGAAATCACATTTCTGGTTATACCACGATATACTTTTCGGTCTTTGCATACAATGACGTCATCTTCGGTATCCCAACTTTTGTTTCTTTTATGTGATTGGTCCTTGGTTTATTTAGATACATATTCGTTTATTTTCAAATTGTAAAAAATGAGAGGGTTCCCGAAAATAAACTATTACCACTGGGTGTTCCAAAAATAAAAACAATCGAAAAATGGAAAAAAAATATATATTCTTCACTACGTTTAGGAAACTAGCAATTTCTCTGCACCCAGTATCAAAATTAACTAAAAAGTACCCAAACAGATGGCGCTTCTTACTGAAAAATTACAAAGCAGTTTCCAGAACAAAGACTAATAACAGAAACAAGGAGTTGTTATCTGAAAACAAATTTAACCCACTCTCAAGCAAAAACTTTTTTGGAATGATCAGAAATGCAGCAAAAAACATTGTTTTGTAATTTTTTATGCTAGCAACGTCATCTGTTAACCAACTTCGTAAATAATTTTGAAGAGAAAAAGTTTAATTTTCGAAGCATAGCGCAGCAAAACGTTCGAATTTTCTTTTAACCCCTTGGGGACGGGTGATTCAGAAAAGCATTCGTACAAAATCAGAATCAAGTTGTAATTAAATAAAAAGCGGTAACTGAAATGCAGTCGTTGCTAATTTGACAGACTTACATTGCTTTTACTTTATGATACAGTTTTATGCTGTCACGTATTTGTGACAGTCGGCGCGAAAGGGTTAAAAGATTTTTCAAATCGTTGGTTATAGAGCCCCTGAATTAGACAAGCCGACTTATCATTTATTGTTGGAGCAAAGAGCTAACATAAGCACAGCGAATAAATATTTTCGAGTGGTCGTTTATTAATTGTAATTCTTGGTTTTATAAGTTCGATTTAGTAGATTTTAATCCACCGCTATTTCTAAACAATGCGTAGGCTTATATAATTCACCACTTTTTAGTACTTATGACATGCTTTACATTTTTAAAAGCAAGCAAATATTGTCATCTATTTGTAAAATTTACTTTGTCGTTATTTACCGTTTTTTAAATTATTTTGGTGTGTCCGGCGCAGATGGCATCTCTGTAACAACAAAACTAATACTAACATAACGTTAACTTGTGAATTTGTTTGCTCCAATATTGCTTGATAGGTCAGCTCTGATAGTATAGGAGCCTTAGTTGGTTATTTTCCGACTCCATGACGTCACTCGGTCTGTATATGATGTAAATATTTCAATAAATCGGAGGACATTTGTGTTAGGGAGCATGGGGATAAAATTAGCCATTTTGGGAAACTCTTGTCCCCAAGTTTCAAAACGAAATTAGCATCTGATTCAGGACAAAATTTCCAACCTAATTGTAGCAAATACTTTGGAATGGAGCGAGTATTATAAAATTTGCTACCACTTTTATACTTTTGGTGAATCTTCGGGAACTCCCCCTATCAAAAATGGGCACACTTTCCGGGTGACCCAATAAATTTGTAGTTAGCAACATGTTTAATATTACCAAATAATTACGCCGAGTTGTGACGCATTGAATTTTGATTTTAAAGTAAAAGCCAATAAGAAGAAATTTTTAAATTCTTACAACAATATTGACACCACTTTTAAAATTTTGTAACAACCTTACGAACTCTGTTGGGGCAATTATAATGAAGCATTATTTTACAATAATGCCTTCAAACAAATAAAACAATTTCAAATTAATTTTATATTTCCGTACAAATATTATAACTGCTTGAAATCTATGCATCCTATGTTGTTATCATAAATCTAAGCATTAGGAATAACAAAATCAATTCAATAGTTTACATTTGCCTCTATTGCAATCTGTAAAACATATAAATGTAAAATAGTGCATTCTTTAAATTTTGCAGAAAAAAAAAACACAAATCCAAAATTAAAAATAAAGAAACAAGTAAATTTTGCTGGTATGTATCCCATTCGCTATCATAGGTGCTGTTTCCAAACCAACAGAAACGTTGGTTTGGAAACGTGGCTTATTCCTTATGTGTTAACCTATTTTTTAAAGACCTTCATACAAACTACATTTATTTCGTCAGTGACGTCGAAACGCATGTTTTACGACTCGCAAATTTTTATGATGCAAAACAAATTGATAGAAAAAGAAATGTTTGAAACTAGCAGTCGATATTAACCATGAAGAAATATATATATTTATGCTTCGTAGTAAATTAGGATACTGTAAAATATGTTGGTAGAAATTATTCATGCTAATGCATACAATGACGAGATGCAATCAATTTTCGTGAATTCAATAAATATCTACATAAATAAAGCAGAATATTTATATGTATGAACGTATATAAATTAGATAATTCCGCAATATTTTTTTACTGTTCTACTCGAAATTTGGTGGATAAACATTATAAGACAAGGCGTAATCCGATCACCGGTTTAGTCCCCCACCCCAAATTTCTTCCCCAGAGAATTTGATAAATATTTTATAGTCTGAGTGATTTTCTAGCTTGCAGCTCCAATCAATCAAAAATTAGTTTTGTTGCAAGTTCTTATGAATTATTTATTTTAGGTTTTCTTTGTTAGCTTATCACAAGCAAAACGATTATTATAAATGGGATACCCGCAAGTATGGGTATCTCAATCCTGATTGGTTGTTGAAACGTGGCATTTGTTTACATTATCAACTGTTCTTTCCATTCAATTTCGAGTAAGCTAAGCCCATCCAGTATAAATTCTTTTAAGTGGCACAATCTTTCTTTGACAATATATTTCTTACTTAACACAAAAGCAGGCGATGTAGAACATAAACTAACTATGCATCGAAGTTGCCAGGTGCACTAAACAAAAATATGTCACGGTTATAACAAAATACCTTAACAAAGAGTAAATATAAGTTAAGTATAAGACGCAAATTAGAAAAACTTATATTTCAACAAATTCGATGACCGAAACGGCGCAATGTTTAATTAACATTAATTAACATTCTAACTTTTGTGGAGAAACTTGGCTCAAATTTAACAAAAAATTTTGTTATGAAAGATCAGCTGGAGCTGACGTCATAGGTCACATGCGTGGGTATCCGTCATCTTCTTCTTCCTGAAATGCAAGCTCCACAATTTCGTAAACTATGGGAATGACGTTACCGACTTCGTATTTTAAAAGGTATATGAAATGTGCTTCTTAATTTGATCTTACGCTTTTAAAGCACGCTTCTATAACTGAAATAGTAGAAACTCAACAAGTACTATTGTTATTACAACTACAACAACAAGTACTATTACTACAACAAGTACTATTGTTGTCATATTGTTATTGACTCCAAGGATGTTTAATTTTAGTAATAAGTACAAATTGCCATGAAATAATTAGTTTTGTACTAATTATTTCGAAAATATATTAAAAGTTAAATTAATGAGAAATTATGCTAAAAGTTAAATTAATGACTAAAAGGTGCTTTTCCCCCATCTAGAAAAACCATAAAAAAATCACGGTAGTATTATTGACGCATTTGTTATTTTTATATTGATTCTTAATTAATTTTAGTAAAGGGTACTACTGCTATTGTGTTAATTGGTGTTTTTCAATAAGACCGAAATAGACAACTATTGGCACCGAGATACTTCTGTAGAAATAGGTTTTTAAGGCCCATCGAAAGTAATATTTGATTATCAGGAGGTGACCTCAAACAACAGCATTATGTCAAATAATGTTAAATATGGTTAATTTTTATGAACTTCGAAAACGCATATTTTACTTAATCTAATAACATAAAGCCACCAAAAAGACCAAAAAAATAATAAAAAATATATGTAAATTGGAATTGTTTCACCTTACTAAATGATGTCGGTCTATTGTTTTATTGATCATTTACTTTTTCCCCACCCCGTTAGAAGAGCGGCTATTCAGCTAGTGCGCAATAACAACAACTTCTAGGATTAAAAATTTCAAGTAGTAGATGTAAATATTGCTGCATACTTTTGCCAGATGATGACAGTCAGGAATACAAAAATGTTAGTAAAAATATGTTAGTGACGAAATTCATTTCATTGATTTTTCTAAAACTCCAATTGGGTACTTGCACTTCAAGAAGAACAAGATCACGTATACCTATCCACATATGTGACTTATGACGTTGGCATTCAGTTGATCCTTTGTAAGTAAAATGGCGGTTCAAGGTGAGCTTTTGAATCATTTAAGTATAGTTAAGGGGAAAATAATTTTAAATCAAATTTATGAAACAAAGAATCATACATTATAACATAATTACCACTATGTAGATATGCTGGCTTAACAAAATGTAAAAGAGTAACAAATCAATAAAAAAATGACTGTGATACTTTTTATCTAAATCTTCTTTTTTTTTTATCACATAAGCACAGAAAATCATATTGACTAAAAGTTGCAACCTATTACAAATTAATAAGCACGATTTTTTAAAAAAAAAAATCATAATTAAATAATATCAAGTATCTATATATAAATTTATCCATTACACTTTCCTCAACAATTCGAAGTCATCCGGTAAATCTAAATTATAATCTATTTTCATCTTCATATCTCTCGCTTCAATTCAAATCACCCATCTATTTATAGACAAACTGAAGAAAATTCTAGATAGAATTTACTGAAAATTTCCGAAAGGACATTTCCGTTTGTTGGCACCTAGAAAATTCTGGCAACATTCAATTCTTAAAACCGGTAGATATCAAAATGAGAAAATTAGCTTACAGCTTCTATAGAAAAATAAATTTGAGGGATTAATAGAGTAGTTAACAAATTAAAAGTGCTTAATTGGGTACTTGCACTTTCAAGAAGAAGAACATCTCCCATACCCACACATGTAACCTATGATGTTTGCTACAGCTAGTTTTTATCAGCAAAATGGCGTATTAAAGTTGAGTTAATTTTCTCTGCATAAGTTAGAATGTCAATTAACGACAAGTTCATTAAATACAGAGCAGTATTGCACATCGAATTAGATAAAATATAATTCTTTCTCGTTCCAAAATTTTGTTCAATACCTGTAAAAATCTGGGATATTTTTTTAAGGTTTTGAGATATTTCTCTTAATAACAACATTTTGCTTTTCTTCTTTTTTATCAAATTAGTTTTCAAGCGACACGGATTGTTTTCACATCTTACATATTTTTTAAAAAATATTAATGATAGCACAAAGAGTACAAAAATATGTGTAATTTTATTTTCTGGTCAAAGAAAAAAAATATTATTTAACAAATTGATTTCAATAACAGGGCTGCCAACTTTCAATTCGGTTTGTAAAAATTTATTCCAGCGGTACCTAAGTTTATGCTTTAATGTATTAATTTTTATTCATTTGAAATTATTTTTCACACTACCATACATAATTGACTTAAAAGTTCTTATACAGCGCCACTTTTTTTCCAGCTCAATCCTGGTAAAGTTTTTAAATTGTTACCAAAATTTCTAAAAGCTTTGGTTTTTAAAAGTCTACCACTATATGAAATATTTTGTGAAAATCGTAGAAGTTGGCAGGTCTACAGTCATGGTAGATTTATTTATCGTAAAATACTTAACTTTTTTTCTAAATTTAGGTCCTAACTGTACTTCTTAGTATAGTCCAATGTTCTGTGCAGTGTCGCGGTGGCTCAGGGGATAGAGCACTCGCCTCCCAACTAGGTGACCCGGGCTCGATCCCAGCTGGATAAAGGCAGGAATTCGGCACCCTTCTAGCACCGACCACAGTGCTGACGTGAAATATCCTCAGCGGTTGACGGATCATGGATTAGAGCCCCCTTGTCATCAGGCTATCAGAGCTCTTGTTGTCCTTCTCTCAATGTAACGTGAATATGGATTAGTTCCATCAAAATATCCTACATGATGGAAAATTTCTCCCAATACTAGATCCGGGAGTTCCCTTGTCTTCTGGATTGGGTTCAAAATTACAAGGCTACGGAATTGGACATTAGTAGACATAAACCCAAAAATTGGGTCGGTTGTTCAACGACGGCTATAAAATAAAATATAAGATGCTGTGTTACAAATTTTGAAATAAAATACGTCAAGTTTTATTCTCCAAAAAGGCTGAAATCAAAATTAAGTTAAACGGTATCAATTGTTATGTATGAAATTGATTTGTAGAAATAAACTCGTTTTAGTAACTAACTTAAGAATAAAATTATACGCCATAGACCCCGAAATCCCGGCTCTGATTATTTTTTTAAAATTCCGCATGATTAAGTTCAAAATATTTAAAAAATAAATTTTTGTAATAAGTTCCATGTTAAAACATTTTTATTACTTCTCATAAATTTACGTATTTTATTCTTTAAATGTTTAAATTATATTCATTATAAATGTCCAAGGCCATTTTTAAAAAAATAGATAGAGATATTTTTTTTTAGAGCATAAATTCGAAAGTGAAGTCTGAAGAGTCTGCTCCCTTACATAACTCCAGGAACCACTGTAATCTAATTATATCCCCCCCCCAAAAAAAAAAAATTTTTTTTTTATTCTAAATTATACGAAGTACATTATTGCTTTAAGTAGAAACTTCTTTAGATGTTCAAACTAAGTAGTAAAATTTTTTTCTTAGACCTGAATTACCGAGCTGGGAAAGATTCAACTTACAAATCAGCAAGCAATATGTGTACGAAGAGAACTCAACCATTATCGATGATTTAGAACGTGATTTGGCGACTCAAAGGATTGTTGCAGTAGGTAAAACTTATTTATTGATTTTAATAAATTTTACTGTTCTTTATCTATTTGTAGCTTATGTTATTTGTCTAAAGATTAATTTTAGTTCCCGATTTCCCTATTAAAAAGTAAAACTTGTAGAATAAAGAATAATTTTGCAAACTCTTCAAACGTTTCCACCACCAAGATAATTGTCGCAAAGTTATATTTTAAATTAGGCTTTCAATTTTTGATTCGATTTGGTATAAAAAATTTTCTGAAAATAAAATTTACTAAATGAAAAATAACTTAAACTTCGCTACCACTAGAAAATAATTTTTTTGCAAAGTGAAGCTAGCATTTAATGTAAAGAAATATATAATATCAACTTATTTCATATCAACAATAATTTTTTATCCAAAAAGATTCTGTTTGTTATTTTTTTTACAAACTTGTGTCACTTAGAATAATTGAAACTGCATACCTGCCAACTCTTCCGGATTTTCCGGAAGATTTTATTTTCATATTTAAAGTGGTAGTAAAGTATGCATCA